ATTTGTCTTTTGCAAAAAAACAGGCCCAAAACGCATGTGGTCCAGAGAGACTTTCACGACCGTCTCGTACTCACGCAACCCCCACGCCCTTCATTGTCGCAACCCCTCATTGTCGCAACCCCCACGCCTCGACCTTCGACTTGGGCAGCGGCACAACCCCCGCTCAAGATCGCCGTGCCCCAAAATCGACCAAAGGCACCGTCGGTGGCGCCCGTGTTCGAACCATGCGTGCAGTGTGCTCCCAAGCAGCTCTCTATGAGCGCTGGGCCGCCTCCGCCGCCATCCTGGCTGCCGCTGCCTTGGCCCTCGCCGTCGCCACCGACGCGCGCCTCGCCTTGGCGGCGGCGATTGCGGCATCCATCGCCGCCTCCTCCGCCGCCAGCGCAGCCTCTTCCTCCGCCGCGGCCTCCGCCGCCGCCTCCGCCTCCGCACTCCAACGCGCTGCCTCGGCCGCCTCGGCCTCGCGCGCCGCAGCCTGCCCCTCCGCCGTCTCCTCCTCGCTCGCCTCGCTCGCCGCCTCGGCCGCCGCCTCGGCCGCCGCCTCGGCCGCCGCCTCGGCCGCCTCCTCCGCCTCCGCCTCCTCCTCCGCCTCGTCCGCCGCAGCGTCCAAGCGCGCAGCTTCGGCCACCTCTGCCGACGCCGCTGCCTGGCTCTCCGGCGTGATGCCGAACCGGATCCTCTCCTCGGTGAGCGTCTCGAGAAGCAGGAGAAGCCTCGCCTCCTCGGCCTTCTTCGCCGCCTCGGCTGCGTCTGCCTCCGACGGCGCCTCGGCACCCTCCTCGGGCTCCTGCGACGGCCCCGCCCCGCCCGCCCCGCCGCCCTTCTTCTTCTTCTTGCCCTTCTTGCCCTTGGCGCGCTTCTCCGCCTCGACCTCCGCCAGCAGCTCCTCGGCGTGTCGCGCCGCCTCCTTCTCCTCCGCCGCCCTCTGCGCCGCCCTCTCCGCCGCTCCCGCGGCCCACGCCGTCTCCGCCGCCGCCTTCTCCGCCGCCGCCGCAGCCTTCTTCGCTGCCTCCGCCGCCGCCTTCTCGGCCACCGCATGCTCCTCGAGGGCGCGCACGCACTTGGCGTGGCCCTCCTGCTTGGCCCACTGCAGCGCGGTCTTGCCCGTCACATCACGCAACGTCATGTCTGCGCCCGCCCGCAACAGATGAAGCATGACGGCAGGGCGGTTGAAGCAGGCGGCGTGCACCAGCGCGGTGGCGCCGGTGTTGGACTGCTGGTCGATCTCCGCGCCGTGCCGGATCAGCGCGCCGATCACTTTCTCGTGGCCGTTGCCGGCGGCGCCCATCAGCGGGGTGATGCCGTTGCTGTTCTGCAACGAGACATCCGCACCGCGCTGGAGCAGCGCCTCGGCCAGCCCCTCGTGGCCGTAGGCCATCGCGAGCATAAGCAGTGTCATGCCGCCCACACGGAGGCCGCTCGAAAAGACGTACTCGAACCTCGCGTCAACCCGTCCGCCGCCGTTGAGCCATGCCAGCACCGCCTCCTCGCCGCCTCGCTGAGCCGCTTGCACAACCTCCTTTGGCACCGCACCGCCGCTCCGCTCGACCTCCGCGCCGCCCTCGCCGCTCGAAGCAGAGGCCGCGGCACGCGCAGCTGCCTTTTTCCGGCTCGCCGCCACCTCCCCGAGATGCGTTCTGAAGGCCTCGACGCACTCGGCGTGGCCCTCCTCCTTGGCCCACTGCAGCGCCGAAAAGCCGTTCACGTCGCGCAGCGTCATGTCTGCGCCCGCCCGCAGCAGGCGGAGCACGACGGCGGGGCGGTTGAAGCAGACGGCGAGCATCAGCGCGGTGCAGCCCTTGCGGTCCTGCACGTCGATCTCTGCGCCACGCCGCAGCAGCAGGTCGACGACCCGCCCTTTGCCGCCCTGCGCAGCCGCTGCCAGCGCCGCATCGGCGGAGTCCTGCGGGTTCATCTCCGCTCCGTGCTGCAGCAGCAGGTCCACCATTCGCTCGCGGCCATGGTAGGCGGCAGCGTTGAGCGCAGTGATGCCGCCAATGCAAAGCAGGTTGACGTGCGCGCCACGCTTCAGAAGGAGCTCGACAATCTGCGCGTGCCCGCTCTGTGCGGCGATCACCAGCAGGGTGCAGGGAACCACATTGCCGGCCTCAGTGGGTCGCTCAGCGAGAGTGTCCGCCTTCCCGCCTTCATTCAGCCACGATCGCACCGCTCCCACGCGGCCGTGAAAGGCCGCCTTCAGGACGTTCTTTGGGACTTCACCACCCGGCGCGCTGCCAGCAGACGGCGGAGGCGTGCGGAGCGCGGCGGAGGCGCGGGAGGGCGTCGCGGGCATGACGTCTTGGCGGCTAGCGGCGGCAAGCGAGCGGGTCGATGGGGGGGCCGAATTTCTTTTTCCCAAACGGACAACCCAAGGGAGGCCTTGTTTAAATTCTTTCCTGCGCTACGAACAAATTCTTTCCAAAAACGCGG